TCATAGCTGCCTCGTCATTGAGCTTATGAGCAGTGTGTAGTAAGAGCCTTGTACGAAGATGGTCTAGAGCCTGAAGACTAAGACTCGAGCAATACTCAATAATGTTACTACTACCGCATCGTCGGTGGAATCCCCAATACTCTCAGCAATAGTATAGGCATCATCATACTCACATGCACCATACCTAATACTGAGATAGTCCAGGCATACTGTAATACGAGTATAATACTACAGGGAACATGCCTTCCACAACATGATCATAGCCTTCGACGCACTCTCAGTATTCGAGTAAGAGGATCGTGATAGTTCGTTATCTATAGGTCATATCCCTCGGAGAGAGTGTTGGAGTAGAGAGTACCATCATTGAGTATGTTATCATAGATCTCGATAGCCTTAGTGTATTGTCCAATATGAAAGTAACAGAAGGCTAACCAGAGTGATGAGGCAGGCCTGCATGATGACTCCACAACACTCGCTACAGCAACCTCACACCTCTCTTCACCAATAGCCTTCTCGAACTCTAGTACAGCCACAGCCCCAGTATAATCTCTCTTGAGCAGGAAATCAGTCAGTTCAGGCTTCGCACTGTCCGGTGGCTGCCTGCTAGTTAGTGCAGAGGCCCCAGAGACCGCAGTTGTTCTAGTTCGTCTCCTACTATTCACCGCTGAGCCTGGCCTTATCATGCACCACAAGGAACTAGGGTATTCACAGCGTACATCTATTGGGCAGAGTTCGTGCTACGGAGAGCACCACCCGGGAGATGAAGACCATATAAAGTTAGTGAACATCAAATTTATGCCACCCCAGGTACACCTTTTTACGCCTAAGATCAAACTCTGCGTCCGGTACAGGCGAGGCCCCCGCAGACCTTCCGACTACAATCAGTTTCGCAAGCGATATAGCGAAATTAAGTTCGGTCGGAGTAAGGCTATTGGCCGTACTTGAGTCTCAATTCACCACGATGAGAACACAAGATAAAGCTAGCAGGAAATCGGTATGGCATTTGACGCCAAATATGCGTACATGAGCAGCAGCCTTAAAGGAACTTCAACCAGTGCAGAGACTGTTACGGATAGTTAGGAGGAGTATCCTACATATTCCGGAAGGGGAATCAGATGATCGTGAGCTCAGCATGAAAATAGTAGCACTTTGAACAGTTATGAAATAGCGAGATGAGTGACATAACTAATTATACATATACTCACTTGGTAGAAAAATAATTTCCATCGTTCATCCTACTTCACCTCTCCGACTAGCTGAGGCATGTTTCGATGTTCTACTACGTTGTTGGGAGCTGGAGTCAGCATGACAGCTCGTAACAACACTGCTGTCACCAAGATATACAGTAACGCCACCGTGCATGTTGGGTTTAAGCATGTCTCTCACGAAGGCCTTCATGCCTTCAACAGAGGTAATACTATATTCAACGTTGAGTAAGGCCTCCCTATCACGGGAAGCAGCTTCAACAGTCTTCCTCAAGGGACCATAGACACGACGTTTGTCAACATAAATAGTACTTACGAAACCATAAGGGTTCTTCCATACTCCAGTAGGAGCATCATAATTCTTCCTTCTAGCTATTCTGGCGACTATTCTGGCCAGGTACGGAACTCGTTGTGGGATGATCGAGATTATCATCTCTCCTGGTAAACATGTCCGAATAATACAACAATGGTAGTCCCCAAAGAATGGTCCGACTTTACCAGAGCACTTTCGTGAAGCGTCGTCGTCGCACAATGCTAAAGTCAGCAAACAAAAAATGTCACAGACACCAAGCGGGCTATTAGGTAATGATGGTTCAGTTAGATCACGAGAAATAGGTAATAACGATGGGGAGGGAGAAGAAGGAGAAAGTTCCCACGATGGATGAATCGTGACATGATGATCTGTGAGTGACTCAACGCCGTTTAGGCAGTCTAAGCTACCACGACACATATCGCGACTGGCAGACAGGACTTGGCGTGCCTGTTGTATGCCTAGATAGTAACCATCACTCGGATACTACG